TATATTATATTTCTGTTTATATTATACATTTAATCTGCATAAATTTATTACAAATAAATTAATTTTTTTAATTTCTGAAAGTACTCCATAGTCTGACACTTTGGGTTGGAAATCATTACTACAAGCCCTTGAGGGAGCTGGGGATTTAGCTCAGCGGCACAGCGCCTGCCTGGGAAGTGCAAGGTCGTGAGTTTGATTCCTGGTACCAGGGAAAAAAACCAAAGCAAAACAAAAAAAGGCCAGGCGTGATGATGCAGGCCTGTAATCCCAGCACCCAGGAGGCTGAAGCAGGAGGATTGCTGCAAGTTCAAGACCAGCCTGGGCTACAAAGTGAGCTCAAGGCCAGTCTGAACTGCATAGCAAGACTCTGTCTCAAAAAGACAAAAAACAAAACAAAACAAAACAAAATGAAACAAAAAAGGCTTTGAAAGGCTAAGACTAAGAATTACATATTTATATAATATATATACTGCAAGCCAAATTACATATTTATAAAATATATACTGCCAGCCTTTTATATAATATATTCTGCAAAATTACTATTTATATAATATATACTGCAGTATAATATATTCTGCAAGCCTCAGTAGTAGTACCCAGGACTGGCCCATAGGAGGTATATATTTTAAAAACTGACAGGTATAATTGAGGAATTACTGATCTGTCAATTTAGTAAGAATTGTTAGCATCATACAATACAGAAAAGGTATTACTGGGGAATTAGTTATCTGATATCTTACTAATGGCAGCAAGAAAATATAAAATACTACATTACAGTAAAGATGGAGGTATTATACAGACATACAAAAATATCAAGGTACTCTAGAAATCACAAATTCATAAATTAGCATCATTTTTCTTTATAGAGTACTTTTTTGTGGGGAGTTGTTTGAGACAGGATTTCGTTATGTAGTTCAGGCTGGCCCTGAACTCACTATGTTGCCCAAAGTGACCTCAAACTCACAGTGACCCTCCTTCCTAAGCCTCCTAAGTGCTGGGATTACAGGCATGCACCATCATGCCAGGCTTATAGAGTACACTTTCTTAAACCTTAAGAATATCTAGACCTCTACAAATCAGACATCCTTTGTGTCTTAATGCCAGTGACTTCCAGAGTTCTTTCATTATAATAGCCTTAGAGATGAACAGTTCAATCTGCATTTATTGGATACCTATTATATGCAAGACACAGTACATATAAACAAAATTCCTGACTTCCAGGTTTACCATCTAATGTGGAAGAAATATAACTGAATACACACACACACACTCAGAGAGGGGAAAAAAATAAGAATTTACCAGTGGCTATCTCTGGAGCAAGCACTATAAATTTTTTATTTTTTGTATCAAACATTCTGAAATACTTATATTTTGCATAATATTCTACTTGTTGATTAAACAAGTAAGTCAAACTATTAAAAGGTAGAGTAAATAAAATCTGAAAGGTACCACATATATTGTGAAAGGGAAAGAAACTGCTCAGATAGGAAGGAAAACTGGGTTGAAGGAGGGGAGAGGAAAAAGAAAGAAGGAAAAAATATGTTTATGTATACATAGGATAGCTAGGATAATTGTACTACTGATGTCTGTTGGTTTATCGAAAGGAACTGTAAATCTGTAACTGATCAATCTTGCATGCCTATATCTGGTTATATGTGCAACCATGTTGAAGACGACATTAGGTGATATAACAACCATTGTTATTATCCTATCACTATGTTTTGAAATTCTGTATTACTGTTCTCTATGCTCTTTAGTTTATATATTTGTTTTTGTAATTTTCGGTTCTTTTTAAATGAAAAAACAAAATTTATATGTATATATATGGATAGCTGGAATAGGTATATTGCTGATGTCTGTGGTTTATTGAAAGAAGCAGTCAATGCTTAAAATTTTCTTTTTTCTTGACCACTTTTGCATGCTTGAATTTGGTAATCAGAATGATCTGAAAACAACAATATGCAGTTCTTATGTGGTTCTTATGAACCACTGTTGAACTCCTGCCATCTTGTGTGGTAAAGCCCTGCATCATTTCCAATTTTTTTTTTTTTATTACTTGTTACTTTGTTTGATTAATCTTACATTCTTATGTCTGGTGGACTGAGCAACTTCACTGAAGATAACAGTATGTAATGTAGCAACCACTGTTAATTCCTATCATTTTGTTTTGATGTCATGTATCATTTTTCTTGTTTTTGTGTTGTTCAGCTTTTGTCTTCATTGTTGTTTTGTTAGTTTTTTTAATTTTTAAAATAAAAAAATTTCTTTAAAAAATAGCTAGTAGAGACAGATGTGGGATTACCAGGATGTTCATTCTCCTGACTATGTATGTCTGTAACATAAATACTGCTATCAGAAAAAAAAAAATGATACTTTCTTTTTTGGGTAGTTTTGTTGTTGTTTTGGTTCGGTTTTTCTTGAGACAGGGTCCCTGCTATGTGGATCCAGTCTGGCCTTGAAAAACTTGCAATGAAAACCACGCTCACCTTGAACACAGTCACCCTCCTGCCTCAACTTCCTAAATGCTGGGATTATACCCATCCACCACCACATCCAGTTACAAATGGTATACTTTAACTCATAAATAATAAAACCTTATTTTCCTTAAAAGTAAAAAAAAACAGAAAGTTGTCTGGGCGTGGTATTGCATGCCTGTAATCCAGCGGAGGTGAGGGGGGCTGGGGGGATGTATTTATCTCCATGAGTTCGAGGCCAGCCTGAGCTACATGGCAAGACCTGTCTCAAAAAAAAAAGTTCTAATTTCTCTAAAAATACTCAATTCAGAAAGGTCATAGTAAAATGGCAAGAAACAATAAAAGAAAAAGGAAAATTTTTTAAAAAAGGAAAATAAACTACTAAGTAAAATGGCAAAGGCTAACCTTAGCTAATGGCAGCATTGAAAGTAAATAGTTTTATTTTTCCACCTTTCTAAAGATTAAGCAGACTATTCTAAGCCATTTTTGGTGTTGCAGAAATGAATGCAATTTTTAAACAAATGCAATCATATTTAACTTGGATTTTAAATACTAATCAAACTAATTAAGCAAATTAATCAGTCTCTTTTTCAGTGTTTCCAAACAATGGGCCAGATATCTGGAGGCATTTAATAATGTGAGTTAAACTTTATTTTTCTGCTCATTGTATACAGAAAAAGTTCTCAAAAGTGTAAACCAAAAATACCTAAAGCCCTTTCCAAAGGATTTGTAAGCTCAATTATTTTCATGATAATTCTAAGAAATTTTTTATATTTTCCTCATTTTCCCATTAGCACTGAGAGCACAAAAGCAAAGGTGTGTAAAAGTAGTAGTATGTTCAATCTAAATAGTGGCACAACTGTTTCACTGACATGTATATAATTTAAAAAAAAAAAAACAGAATAAAAAGATAGTTTTCCTGAAAAACATCTTTGATAAGCAGTAAGTTATCTTCATTAAATTTTGGTCTGAAGAGTGTAAGTCTTTAATATTCTGTGGAATGAAACAGGAAGTGCTAAGAACTACTGCTATATAGCAAAATAAAATTGTTATCTCCAGGAAAGGCACTCAGTTTGAGTTGCCAGCTAAATTGCTATTCCTTTTTTTTTTGGAACATTTTTACGTGAAAAAAACATAACTGACAAGTATGGTTTTAAGACAAGGATATTTGGCAGGTATTTTCATAAAACAACGTCGAGGAAAAGGCCTAAGATTTGTTATTGATAAAATTTGAACTTAAGTGAAAATCAGAATTTTATAAAACTTGGCTCAAACATGTGAACTTAAAAATTTCATATTAAATGACTTTTCAGATGATATTGGTAGTGATAGTAACAATGTGATTTGCTATTATCAAATCATCTCATGTGTCAGCACATGAATGTATATAAACCAATGAATCTTTGAAAGGAACAATGAGTAACATTATAAAATCATGCAGGATCAAAAACATTCATTTGAAGTGCAAGATAATTCAACGGATTTTAACATAATAAAGGATAAATTTTGCATTGCAGCTAACACTTAAGAAAGTGAATTTTCCAAATGACCAATGCACTATGTTACAAAATCATGTAGGATTAAAAATATCCATTTGAAGGGCAAGAAAATCGAATGGATTTTAACAAAATAAAGGACAAGTTTTACATTGCAAATAACACTTAAGAAAATGGAATTTTAATGTAGTCTTAAAAAATATCAGGGCCTGGGGTTTAGCTCAGAGGCACAAGACCTGCCTGGAAAGCATGATATCCTGAGTTTGATTTCTGGTACCCAAAACAAAGAAATCATAATTATCCCTTTCTGGTTAAACATATGCGTGCGACTGGATTTTCTTCACATTTTCAACAAAAAGCAAAACAAAACAAAAACATAACAGACTGAAGAATCATTGACGAGAACCTAGCTATGGGCTATTAAGCCAGACATTAAAGGCATTAGAAATGTTTAAAGTAAAATACTCTTTTCACCAACTTTTTTTGTTTTGGTAAATACAGTTATTTTTCATTAAAATATATGATCTTTTGGCCTGGGCATGTAACTTAATAATAAAGTGCTTGCCTAGCATGCATGAGATCCCGGTTCAATAATCACCAACAAAAAAAGTTATTTATATTAACATGTAACAAATTTATTGTTGTCATTTTAAAACCTATTGATAAATATTTTTTAAATGTTTTAGTTTCAACGTCTACTATGGCAAATATTGATAGACATGTCAATAAAAGCTTTTTGGGGAAATGATCTTTAAGTGTATAAAGAGGTTTTAAGACAAAAAAATTTAAGGACTGCTATACTACAAGCACACAGATGAAGTGTCTCAGCTCCTGAGATTTTTCAGAGTATCCTAGGACCATACCTGCTTGGCAAAAAATATTGTGTCAAGTCTGGAGTCCTGAACCACTGAGCCTGCTGGTTCTTCTCCTGGCTGCCATTTGAAAAGAAAAATTAACCCATGAACTGGCCTAAAAAAAAGGTAATAATAATAATTAGTGACACCAAACCATGATTCTTTTATAACAAATTGGCAATATATACTTAATGAATACAACTCAAGTGAAATAAACTAATTAAGTTAATATGAGGAAATTTTAAAATTGCTCTCTTTCATCATGAAAATGTTGCTATAAAGACTAATTAAAATTACATCGTTAAGATAGAATCACAATAGTTTTATTTTTCTAATCTGTAACTATTTGTGTCTACCTTATATCACCTCACTTAAAAACAGAATATTAAGAGCATAGCAAAACTAGAAGCTATTAACCCAAGATTGAATTCCATAGTACATAAAGTTCTTGTATGTTTACAGATAAACAGCTGATAGCATGTATGTTATTAAATAAAGTCACCTTTATGTAATTATTAGATCCATGTACAAACTACAGTAAGAACGTCTACAGTCACCTCATACATAATGCAGTCATTCACATTCCTAGTGGAGCCACTGAGGCACTTGAAAAGTAAAAACCTTACTTTTGGCTTCCCTCCAGTGCTTTATAGTTGCCCTCTCCTCAATAAAAATGTTCCCTTTCTTTTTTTTGAATTTATTTTGCAGTGCAAGGGAAGGCCCTTCCTCATGCTAGGCAAGCACTATACCACTGAGCTATTGCTCTGGCCTCTCTCTATCTTTTTAAAAACAGATCAAATGCTGTACTGTGTCTTTAACCTTCTCTAATCTCAGTCAGAAGTGACTTCATCTAAAATAAAGTTTTTTGTGGGGAAAATGTGGGAGCAAACCAATTTCTTGTTACTACTGAAAAGAGTAGCCATTCTTCCTTAGTCCCCATTTTCCCTTTTAAAAGCCTGTATCTGGTACCCCCATTCTAAGAATCCTTTTGCAGATACAAGAGCAATGCTCGACAGTATGGAAGTTGAGGGTAAAAGGAAGCTCTAAGAAGTTATTCTGATCAAAAACAAGGAAGAAAGGGAAAATTCTCTCTGGCATCTATGTTTGGACCTTAAATTGTACCAGTCCCAAGAAACAATGTGATAATATGTAGATAATTTTTTTTTGTGGACCAGGGGATTGAAGCTAGGGCTGTTCCGATGAGCATCATTCCAGCACTTTTTACTTTTATTAGACAGAGTCTAACTTGCCCAGGCCTCTCAGAGCACTGAGATTACCGGCATATACCACCACACTTGGATGACAATTTTTGAATTACTATTAGTATTCAGTGTTTTTTAAATATGCTTTTGTAGACTAATATATTATTCATGGTTTTTACAGTGACTTTTGTAGATCACCAGTCAGAACTTTGTGGATATAAAACTACAGAAACTTAAGTTTAAATCTCTTGTAAGTTATATATCTATGAGCCTCAGGGTCTTGGTTATAAAATTGGAATAATACCTATCTCACAGGATTGAAAAAAGACAAAGAAGATAATGTACTCAGCCTTGTGCAATTCATATAAAACGAACACAGATCTAAGTATCCTTTAAGTTTGCCCAAGCATAGTACTGTATGTCTAACACAACTAAAATGTTACTTACTTTAATTTTTCAAAATTCTCAGGTTCTAAACTCCATATTTCTTCTACTTGGGCACCTCGGCAACCTGAAATAAGAATTATTTTCTTTATAAAATATAAAGAACTATTTCCTTTATAAAATCTTCATGTCTTTCATCATAGAATATTAACTAAAAAAAGGCACATCTGGGGGCAGTAAGACATGACAAATTAAAATACTAAAGCTCATAAAACTCAAAGCCAAATTCTATTACTCCTTTTAATAATTCTCAATTATTTTCATGGACTATGTCATAACGTTTTAAAGTTGCATGAGTTTATTATCATTAGATCAGCAGCCTCACTGTTCTTTCTGTTTCTCTCAATCTCTGACTCCTCTTCAGCTACTAGGTTTGCCTTACTCTGTCCCTAGCCCTCTCTTCTTCTTTTTCTTTGTTACTATACACTTTTCTTCCTTCTGGAAAAATAGTTACCACTTCACAGTTACTTTCATATCAGTTTTAGTTCTGGCCTTTTTCATAAGTTCCAATTGTGTGTTTTCAACTATGTCAAGATCACCTTCTCTTCCCTCCCCAAACATGCCCTTCTTCTGTGACAGTGGTTTTCAAACAGGGTACTTTTGTCCCTTAGGGAGCATCTAGCAATTTCTATAGGTATTTTTTATTGTCACTACTGCCACAGAAGTGTGGGGGGTATTACTGGTATCTAATAGTAGAGGTGGGATTATCTGGCTGGGAGCAGTGGCACACACCTGTAGTCCCAACTACTGAGGTAGGAAGACGCTTGAGCCCAGGAGCTTGGGGCCAGCCTGAGCAACACAACAAAACACCATTTCGAAAATATTAAAAAAAAAAAAAAAAAAAAAGTTTAAAAAATCATTTGGTACAGCCAGGTGTGGTGGCGCACGCCTGTAATCCCAGCACTTAGGATGCTGAGGCAGGAAGATCACTGTGAATTCAAGGCCAGCCTAGGATACATAGTAAGCTCAAGCCAGCCTGGACTACATTGTGAGACTTGTCTCAAACAAACAAAAAGAATGGTCCAAAATGTCAACAGTGCCACACCAAGTTACCCTGTATATGTTATAAGTAATCACCTAGTTTCAAATTGCTAGAGTTTGAATAATGGCTTCTCCATTTACAGCTATATAACAATGTAATTTCTCCATCCCCCATATTCAAGAGTAGTTGTGAGGAATAAATAAGAATGCATGAAATACAGCCAATGCAGTGCCTAGCACATGCTGAGAGTCCACTAAATTTTAAGTACTGTTATTATTACAATACCAAAAAACCTGCATTTACCAGTGTCTATGCATGTATGTAGTATGTATAAAGTGCTTTAAATGCATTTTCTCTAATCCCTATAATGCAAGAATTGAATGAATGAAAGAGATTCTGGGGTATTAAATGGCTTGCCTAAATTCACTACAGCTTGTGAATTCCAGGAAACTAATCTAGCTCTAAAGTCTAGGTACTTTCTACTATTTCCGACTACATTCAAATGAGAGATAGAGAAACCTTTAGACCACCTGTAGAGACAAAAGAAATTTTTAAATGGGGCTGAGGATATAGCTGAATGGCAGAACATATAAGAGGCCCTAGGTTTGATCACTAGCACAGGAAAAAAAATGATAGGTCAACCAACAGTTTGACTTTAGGCATTCCTATCATTCTGTCTTGTTTGCTCTGTTCAGCAAGTATCCGTTATGTACTCACTCTGTATTAAAGATGTATGCACAAAGAGAATTACTACATAAATTTAAATGGAGATGAACTCAAAGAAACCTAGCAACAGATCAAGATTGACATATACATATACCAAGCTGGGGGAAAAAACTTGAACCTAAATTTTAATGAGTGCCAAGAGGGACACAGCAGACACTAATGGAGTTGCTGATGTTGGTTACTGCTACTACAGAGCACTTGTTTAAAAAACTGCCAAACAAGGGGCTGGGGATTTAGCTCAGTGGCAAAGCGCCCGCCTGGCAAGTGCAAGGTCGTGAGTTCGGTTCCTGGTACCGGAGAAAAACCAAAAAAAAACAAAACACTGCCAAACATTAAAACATTCCACATGTACCACATTTAAAAAGGCGTGGTGGCACACGTGGCAGACGTGGTGGCACACATGGTGGCACATGCCTATAATCCCAGCACTTAGGAGGCTGAGGCAGGAGGATTGCTGCAAATTCAAGGCCACCCTGGGTTACATTGTGAGTTCAAAGCTAGCCTAAATTAAATACCAAGACCCTGTCTCAAGTAAATAAATACATAAAAAAAACTGCTAAACTTTAAAACATTCTACATACCATTACCACATTAAAAAAAAAAAAAAGCTGGGTGTGGTGGCACAGACCTGCAATGCCAACATTGGGGGTAGCTGAGGCAGGAGGGTCACTGAGTTCAAGGCCAGCCTGGGCTACTTAGCAAGACCTGGTCCCCCCAAAAAAAAGGAAAGAAGAAAAAAAGAAAAAACCCTACTGAATAAAACTGTCCCCAAATCTTCTACATAGGTAGAATTTCAAATGATGATAGTGCTTCAAAAATTGTATGCTAAATACATTTATTTATATAAGTAAAGCACAGTACTCAACTATTAGCATCTATATCCTTATACACATTCAATATCCAAAATATAATGATGTAATATAATGTAATGTAATGTAAAATATAATGATGTAACCATGATACAATGGACTGAGAAGCAATGATTGCAGAGACCTGGATCCTAAGCCTAGCAACTGCCTTAAAGTTCTTATTAAGTAAGAATACAAACTCTTTGATCCTTACTTTTCCAGTTTATATACAAAACAAAGTTATAACCTGCTTCACTCAATGTATAACATTTTTGTGAGCAATAAGGTACTCAAACACTAAACAAAAGAATTTAATGCAGGGCTGGGTATTTAGCTCAGTGGCACAGCACCTGCCTGGCAAATGTGAAGTCCTGAGTTTGATTCTCAATACTTCCCCCTCAAATAAACTTAATGCAAACTCCTGTAATAATAGATATTAAATAAAAGGTTAGGCAGGAAAGGAAGACTTTTACAAATTAATGAAATATGCATACTCACAAAATAACTTTGGTGTGCCAAGCTCGGTACTAGCCCCTAGCAAGGACAGATACTAATAAACTACTGTCATAACACTTACAACTCAAGGACAATACAGCATGGGAAGTAACATATAAAGGCTCCACAATACATGTTCTACAAGTTCAGAAATAGGAAAGATTATTATATCCGTGCTGCTGCGAAAAACTTTCACAGATAACTGAACTGTTTCTGAAATAGGATGATCATGATTTGTAACCTAAACTAGAACGCTGTTCCAAAATAAAAAGGGATGCTAAAAATTAAGATGATGTAAGTTTACAAATACTTATGTATTGACTAATGCACTTATGATATTGGTAATCTCTGAAATAGTGTTTTCCTAAATATAATTTCAAAAACAACCTTCTTAAAAATACAACTGGAGTCTCCCTCCCTCCACCGACAAAATACTATGTTAGGGCTCTCCCAAACTGTTGCCAGTGCCTTACTCGAATACTCAGTGTGTTATCTTCCAACATAAGGATATTTATTCATGTAGACAAGGTCTCAACAAATTGCTATGACGTGCCTCCAACCTACAATTCTGTTGCCTCAGCCACCTTAGTAGTCAGGATTATAGTCATGCATACCTGTGATGGGATCCAATAAGTAGTTTTGACAATATGAATCATATTCCTTTAACTTTACTAACAAGTCTACCAAAAGCAGTAGGAATGGCTGCAGCTTCTCGACTTCCCACAAAATACATCTACATTCTGTTATCTCATAGTACAAATAAATGCCATTTGGCTGATGTGACCAAATAGGAAAAATGCATTAATAGCCCTCAAACAATCTCTCCAAAAACAAGAACTAAGCAAATAGTTGAACTGAACTGGGAGCACTGTGTTGGAGGCACTGGTAACATGCACTCCTCAACTCAGCCTCATTTTGGAAGCCCAACACTAGTTAATTCCCAAGACTATACTTCTTACGTGAAAGCCAGTATTAATTCGCCTCTCTTCAAAGCAAGGAGAAATACACCTTAGAAGTGGTCATAATGGGCTTTCACGTTAAGCTAGCACCATTCTGACTCAAAAGTCATTCAGATCTGCCTTATCTGAGTCAGTTATTACAGATAATGGGATAATTCCAGACTTCCCATCATGAAAAAGTGGAGTCTGCAAATTACTAACACACCCTGCTGTACCTGAGTTAATGCCTCAGGTCAAAAGAAAAGGTCAATAACAAAAACTTAACGACAAAGCCACCTGGCTTTCTAAGGTATATACTGCAAGAGATAAACACACTTGCTATCAACTATAGAGCAAATCAGATTAATCACAGTATGGGGAGTGGACCAATTTTATGAAAAGGAAAAGTAGATACTGTTTAGAGACAATTCTCAATGGGCTTCTCCTGTTTCCTTCTGAGAGGGATCACTGGCACTACTTAGACTTCCCCCTTACCCAGTACTAGGGAATGAACCTAGGGACCAGGGTCTTCACACTGAGCTTCATTCCCTACTCTTTGTTTATGTTTTAATCTTTTGAAACATGGTCTTACTACATCATTAAGTTGCCCATGCTGGGCTCAAACTTGCAACCCTCCTGGCTCTGCCTCCCAGACTGCCAGTATAATAGACACGTACCACTATGACCCACTGTTCTCAACTAGCTTTTGAAGAATGTTCATACAGTAAATGGATTTGAAAACTGAGATAACTGCAGCAGATGGAAGATTTACTTATAGTTCTCAATAATAAAAATAATAATGCCCAGAGACAAAAGTTGAGCAGTTTTGCTGGCAGCCCCTTTATAAGACTGAGATTTTCCTAAGCTCAGAGTTCCTCAACCATAACACAGACTCACTGCACGTACAGCACCCACATTAGTCCATCTCTATCCTGACTTCAAAAACAAGAGAACCCATGCAAAACTCAATCTCCTGCAGTGTACTGGACTATGAATAACACAATCTCTTTACCTAGACACCAGGAGTTGTCTGACAACATCTATAAAACTGGGAAGCCAACTTGTTAGCTGACAGGCAGGGTAAGCTCTAACACTTTATAATTCTTAACAGATGCCAGACTTTGTCAGATGCTTTTTGCACTTACTGACCTAATTGTATGTTGTTTTTAGTTTAATATAGTGACTTCTATTGATACTTGAATGTTAAGCCAACCCTGAATACTGACATAAACCACTTAGTCATTGTGTTATCCTTTGAATTGTATTAGTGGATTCAATTTGTAAAATTTTGTTTGGAACTTTTACATTTATCTTGATTATGGATAGATCTGTAGTTTTCTTGTAATCTTTGCTTTTGGTGTCAACAAGGTAATGCTTGTCCTCATAGAATGAGTTACAAGTATTCCTTCTCCTCCAATTTTGTTTTTAAAAATTTTATAGTATTTACATTGTTTCTTAAATATTTGACAGAATTTACTAGTGTTGGCTAGAATTTCTTTGTAAGATTTTAAGCTACAATTTGAATTTCCATAATAACTATAAGGCTGTACTGGTTATTTCTTCTTGAGTGAGCTTCAGTAACTTACAGCTTTAAAAGAATGTGTACATTTTCACCTAAATTATCAAATTTATTGGCATAAAATTCTTTATATTTTCTTATTATGCTTTTAATATCTGTAGAGCCTGTAATGATGTCACCTTTTTCATTCCTATTTTGCTAATTTATGGCTCTTTTTTTTTTAAAGCAGTCTGGCTAGAGGTCTACCCAATTTTACCAATCTAAAATATTTTGTTTCATTAATTTTCTCCATCGATTTTCCCTAATTTCAACTCTGATTTTCACTATCTCCTTTCAACTGTTTACTCAAGGTCAGTGGTGTGAACCTATAGCATGACTAAAACTAATTTTCTCCCCCGAAGCATCTGATAGGAAACTACTCTCATTTGGTTTTTTGCAAAATCCTGCTAATGGCAAATCTACTAGCAGCTACTGTTTTATTTTTCACGTGCAAGTTTAGAAGGCGCACTTACATACTTCTCTTTGATGCATGACTTTATTTAAATCATCTTCAAATTTCAAGATTTCTACACAAATGAAGTTGAACAACAGTGAACTGAACTAATTTTAAACGAGCTTATCTAATAATTACTTCTGAATGTCAATTTTAACATGCCATAACAATTAAGTTTTTGACAATAAAAGTTATGAATAAATCTGCAAAACTGTCAAGCTCAGTATATGTCCAAAATTGATCCCTTTTTTCTGTTCACCGAGCCTGGTCTTTCATTGTAATTGTACTTCACCAGCTACCCAAGCTGGAAACCAGAAAACTGTTGCTTCTGTTTCCCCACATCCAGTTGGTAAGCAGGCCTACTGATGCTTTTTTTCTCTTTAATGTAGGAGAAATATACTGCCACTCAACCTCTCCTCTAAGGTTGGCAGCCCTGAGAACTCCTTTTTTTAATGTAGCATGTTAGGGATGTATTCCTGCTCCTAAAGGAATGAGGAGAAGGCATTTCCACATGCCAGTAGTGATTTAAATGCAATAAAATTACTAAATCTATCTTCTAACTCACTACCTCAAACACTGACCATTTCGAAGAGATTGCTAGCTTCTCTCATTTTATTCTAATCTATTCTGCACACTACAGGGAAAGTAAACTTTAATTATAAAAATATTTTCACATCAGCTGTGGTGGCACATGCCTGTAATCCCAGCACTCTGGAAGCCTGAGGCAAGAGAGTCACAATTTTCGCCCAGTCTGGGCAAATTAGCAAGATCTTGTCTCAAAATTAAAAAATAAAAAGGGGTAGGTATAGCTCACTGCAAAGCCCTAGTACACTCCCAAGCCATAAAAAAAAAAACCCAAAAATAATAATTCCATCTCAATTTCCTCATTTTTGACAGTAGTCCCCAGTGAATACTAGGTAATCCAATCAGCCTCAGATCCAAATACTCTTCTTGTCCATTGCATTAAGTTGTAGTCACTTTACTAGCTGTACTCACTGTAGTGTTTTACTTCTGCCTGTGTTCCTCCTTAACCTGTGTTCTTGAAACATTTTGCACATACTCAACATAGCAACTATAGTATGCACAACATATTATAGTTGTCAGTTCTTCAGAAGAGCAATCAGACTATTCAAATTAAAACTTCCAAATCTCACCAGTGTGCTTGAGATACAGCAGATGCACAACATATGCCAGATAAATATTGCACATATTCAGCTATGTACAGTAGACAATATTCATACGAACGTGTAACTGCTATCCCGAGCACAAATTTGAACATACTGGCTAGAAGTATTTCGTGACATGTAACAGAGAAAAATAAACTCATTGAGCAAAGAGGCTGAGAAGAGAAAAGGAAGGGTAACAAGTATGCACTGATTAGTAGGCAAGCAAATAAATCACGGCAGAAAGGTACTACAAGAAAAGCATACGGTCTCCGGTCCAGAGCTCTACCTCAAGAGAACTCAGTTCACCGGAAACCACAACTGCTCAGGGAGCAGATCCAGGGAAGCAGCCCGCCAGGCCCGCGCGGACGGCCGAGAGCCATGCCCACGCTGCCGGCGCTCAGGTCGGGGAAACCAGAATCTCGGGTTCCGGGCGGCGCGGGCTCGGACAGCACCCTGGAGAAGACACTCCCCCGCCGGGCGCCGCCTGCGGGACTGCCGGCCTGAGCAGGGCACCGCCGCGCACCGGCCGGGACAGCGAGGCTCCGCAGAGCAGGGCAGCGAGGGCAGAGGAGGCCGAGCACGCGGCGTCGGGAGGCGCGGGACGGCCCTCAAGTCAAAGTGTTTCGGGTCCCGAGCGCCGAGAACATAGCCGTCTGCAAGACAGCCCCGATCCTGCCCTCGCGGAGCGGCTCTCGAAACTGCCGCGCCAACGCGACCGCCCCGCGCCGAGCAGAGGCAGGCGCCCCGCGCGCTCCCCGCAGCGACTCCAGGCTCCTCAAGTTGCTTCTCCTCCGGCACGGGGCGGCGGTGCCGCAAGCGGCCACGCCATCCCGGCTCGGGCCTCCTCCCGTGACCCCGGCCCAAGAAGGCTCCTCGGCTCTCACCGAATCCTTTAATGAGCTCGGTGAAGACCCCGGGGTCGCTTTCCATGAGGCACCACTCCCCGGCATTGCCCGACATGGCCCCGGCCACACACCACCCCGCTCCACCTATCGCACTCGGCCGCCCCTCGTAACCAGCTGCCGCCGGCCACAGTTAGCAAACCCGCCGCGGAGCTCGTCAACCCCACGTCACCCCGCCTACTTCCCGACAGCCTCCGGGCGCCGTCACCTGCAGCGCGCCAGAGCGCAGGAAGACACTCTAGCCACCCGGGAGACGTCGAAAGTCTTCCAGGGCCTTGCGGGATCCGTAGCGGATTCGGAAGGGGCCGGAACCCGAGCAGAGAGGGCGGGACTTCAGGGCGCCGAAGGAGGTAACATCCGGGGTCCGCGCCACTCGGGGCGGGGGCGGAGCAAGGGAAGAGGGGCGGGGCTCGTTCTCGGGAACCGAACCTGGAAGGCCCAGCGACCCTGGAGTTGCCCCCCGGCTGTCAGGCCGCCGCCTTTCGCCATTCCCCATCCCTGCGCAGGGATCTCCTGGCGGCGCCGCGGCTCCGAAGGCTTGGCCGCCAGGCAAAGGTGAGGAAACGGGGAGGCGGGCCGGGGGCCCTTTGTGCAGCCCGCGCGACTCTGGGGACGTGCAGTTCTGCGCGCCTCTCTGCCCGCGTCGTCTTCCTCGCGCGGCCTCCTCGGGGCTCCGCGCGCGTTAGTCCGCAGCCGGGTCGCCGCGGGGCGTAGTGTCGGGGCCGCTCCTCGCGGCGCCGCAGGCCGGGGCCCG